ATACTGTCAAGATTTTCAAGATATGTAGTCAAGTGTCTACAGGGAATATATGATTGAAGGGGTGGTATGGCTTCAAAGGCTAGAAACTGCAAAGGGAGGGGGAAACCGAAGAAATTATTGTTACTCCGTTGCAAATACCTAGCAACAGCATTAGCCTTGTGAGGCAATTTACGGTCTATGAGAGGAGGGCCAAAGTCCCTGAAAGTTTGAATTAAACTCTTTCTTCCCCATGGATATTCAAGGAAACCTTTGACATTATGAGTCATATTAACGTAAGCCGCAGTGATCTTTAGCTCTCTGTTGTTGCACATAACCACGCCGTCGATCAGAACTAAAAGAGCCAAAGGTAATTTTTTCCATTCGTCGAGCTCCGGGTTTGTCAACATTTCAAGGATGTCTGATACATGCACCGTTTTACTCTCGCCTACTCCAAACAGTAAGTCCCACTGTGATGTTCCTAGGTCCTTGCAGGCGGTCATAAGATCAGGAGATGAGAATGGCCCACAGCACAAACCCGAAATACTGTGCAATTCCCGAAGAGAGAATCTGAGAGGCTTTCCACCGAAGAGCATCCACATCTCGTACCTTTTTCTGGTTAGAAGTTGGCGACAAAAGAGTGCATGGATTAGCTTCGTAGAGTTGACGCACCATTGAGTTGGAAGTGTAAATAGCTTCCCAAACTGGGATTCTAATAACTTTTTCAAAGTCTGAGTCCCTTTCAAAACCTCTGCTAATTTTCCAATGACAGTTGCTTTCGAAAATATGTTAAGCCTCAGACCATCAGGGCAACTTCCCTCACTGAACAGGCGCTGTGGGAGATTGCATGGAACATCGTCGTCTTCAAAGGGACTCTCCATTTGATCTGGAATCGAATTTCACAACAGAAAATCTTCAAATGGTAGAAGAATTCTACGAAACTACCAAAGACCTCAAAAATAAAGTAAAACATAGGAGAATAGCTTTCGGAAACTATCTAAAACTGACCGGATATGACATGCAGCTCTAGTGAAGGCAGAGATTTGGGGATTTCGCCAGGCGGCTCCGCATGTACAGCTTCCGGCGCCTGAGACGAATCCGGCAGAGGCGGCATATGAGTCTCTTCTGATACTAGCTCTAGTGAAGGCGGAGATTTGGGGATTTCGTCAGGCGGCTCCGCATGTACAACTTCCGGCGCCTGAGCCGAATCCGGCAGAGGCGGCATATGAGTCTCTTCTGATACTGTTTCTAGTTCTTCAAATGCTTTCTTCAAAGCGTAGATCATCATCTTCTTTATCTATTACATGAAAATCCTAAAACAGTCAGGCAAGTGAATGCATATAAAAAGAAAAGAACAGCACTATGAAACCAAGAAAGTACAAGACATGTAATAACAAATTAACATTTTATAATCTCTATGTAACACACGTAACCTGCATAACAAACTTAATCAAGAATATTTCAAAAATTGATTCGTTTAATGTAAGGAAAATGATTATCAAAGCTGTTAAGCAAACTCTCATAAAATGTATCAGAAGCTGTTAAACAAAACTCAAAGCTGTTAAGCAAACTCTTATAAAATTGACTCGAATATTTAGGAGATTATTATCCATATTTTCCACGTAAACCAAGTAACCAACATTGGCTAACCTAGAGAGCATATAAATATAATTCGGAAAAGACAATAAGGAGCAACCTCAAGTTTGTCCTCTCTGCTTCCGTGGTTCTTGGGAAGTTGGCGAAACTCCTCGGTCAGACGCAAACACTCACCGATGTTCTCTGGTGACACAAAGTCAACTGCCACTTTTGTGCACGACTGTTTACACAAAAACACAGTTTTTCATCAGAGAGTTTCCACTACAAAGCAAATGGTATGACGAAAATAAGAGTAGAAGAACAGAAACTATTCAGTTTACTTAGACCCTTACAGCCTTACTCTGAAACATATAGGTTACCAAAACCCATATAGGTTACCAAAACAGCCACTAAATATAGGTTACCAAAACTCTAGAAAATCAAATTTATATCTAGGTTTATATCTAAATATAGGTTAACCACTAAATTTACAAGTATACATATAGGTTACCAAAGTATACATACAAGTATACAAATTTATATCTAAATATAGGTTAACCACTAAATATAGGTTACCAAAACTCTAGAAAATCAAATGGCTGCGTTGATCAACTAGAGTTTCTTTGGAGGGGGAGTGGACATTGTGGAACCTATGATGCACCAGCCTCAAAGAAACTAGCCTCGTCTATCCAAACCTCTTGTAGGAAATCCACCACTACGTGTTGTCATCATATCTTTAAAGAAACAGAACAAACATTAGACATATATAAAGAGGACCAAACCATAACTATAAGAACAAAACAAAATCAAAAGAGACTTAGCTAATAAATTAACACATATCAAACTCAAATAACCACAAATCCTATAAGAGATGAAGCTATAACAACAAAATTAACAGAGACTAAACTCAAAATTGTTAGAGATGAAACTATAAGAACAAAATTAACACCGACCAAGCTCAAATGACCACAAAGTATAAGAAATGAAGCTATAAGGACAAAATCAACAGAGACAGAACTCAAAATTGACAGAGACGAAGCTATAAGAACAAAATTAACACCGACCATACTCAAACAACCACAAATCCTAAATCGAATCTACATACAACAACAATTTCAGTCTAATGACCATCAAATTCTCAAAACAAAAGAGTGTGATTCCACAAATAAATGCAAACGAGAGATCTGCTTGAAGAAACGAACTTGAAGCAGAGGCGGCTCGAGACCAGGGAACGGAGCAAATCCAAGGAGAGTTTGAGAAATGAGACGAAGAGAACGAGAGCGAGCGAGAGAGAAATGGTGCGACGGAGATGGGTATAGAAGATTTAGGGTTTGGGTATCTAATGGAAGAGAAGTAGAGATATAAGAACGAAGAAGGAAATAAAATAATTGGAATCAAAAGTTTAGGCGGTCACTGAAATATCTCTCAAAAGTTTCGCACGCATAATTTATTTTCATTAGCGAGAGAAATATCATCGCTATCGCTATCGTCGCCAGCTAGCAACAAAGTTGTCGTCGCTAGTCTTAGCTACATGTGGAAAATTTTCGCGACGGACAGACCCTATCTAAAGCGTAGCTATTTGGCTACAGAACAGCAACAGATTCCGTCATAGCTATGTAGCTACAAATTTGCAATGAAATAGCCACATATATGGCTACGAAATTCCCGTGTTTTAATATCTAGATTTTTTTAATTTATTATTTAAAAACTTTTGTTGTTTTACAATTTTATGTTATTTTTTTGAATTTTTGTTATTTATATATTTTATTATACATATATATGGGTACCCATATAATCCATTAAGCTAATGGATTTCTACAATAATGGGTTTGAGTATGTAAATTCAACCCATATAAATATATGGGTCGGGTCAAACTCGTCCATTAAACACTCGAACCCATATGGGTTTGGGTCGGGTCGGGTCGGGTTACCCATTTTGACACCCCTAATTCTTGTAGTGAATACTGATTATTATATCTCATTGTAAATCTTCTAGAATCCATGTCACGAAGGTGATGATGAAAAACAGGTATGTAGATATCTCGGTTTCAATTTATAATTTGTTTCATTTTAGTGAGTTATCGAATCCTCATTGTTCATCAACGCAAGAAAATAATCTGAAATCGCAGCAAATAATTTGAACTCACATCAACTATATATTTAGAAGATTTTCGATATCTGGCAGAGAAAAAGATTGATAGATTCCAGCTTGGCGAGGGAGTTATGCCTACTAGCTTCAAAGTTTCCCATGATCCTGTTAGAAAACTGAGAGCTGATTTTTGCAAGAGTGCGATTGGAAGAGTAGCGTCAGTTGATTCTGGAGACTGGTGGAGTACACTGTTGAGAGCCTACACAAAATCAATTGAATGCGAGAAGAGTATACAGCTCATACTAAGCATGTGCCTGTCTGAGGGATTTGATATCTTACATACTCTTTTATGCGATGATGGTTGTTGTTTGATTGATCATAGTACGGTGAGCAAAGTTTTTTTTTGACGAATTATTCCTAGAGATTCTTTGTACGAGTACAGTGTGAGCTAGCTGTTCATCAATTTTCCGTTTTTTTTTTTTAATCTGTGTTTTAGGGAGTTTATGGCTATCTAATAGAGATTCAAGCCCTTTTCTTTATGGCCTTAAGGTGTGCCGTGCTACTACTGCTTAAAGAAGATGGAGAAGGTACAAAAATGGTGGAACAGATAATTAAGCAACTTCATGCATTGAGGAGCTACTTTTGGCTAGACTTGAAGCAACATAATGACATTTATCAATATAAGACAGAGGAATAATCTCACAGTGCTGTCAACAAGTTCAGCGTAATCCCCGATTCTATTCGATTTTCGACTATATGTCGCCTCACGGAGGGCTTTTTGTTGGCAATGTTAGCCCTACAAGAATGGATTCCTCTTAGTTTGCCTTTGGTAATTGTATAGCCATGTTGTCTTCCTTGGCTACTCCTGAAATTATCGATCTCATAGAATCTCGCTTGGAAGAGTTGGTTGGAGAAATGCCACTGAAAGTTTGCTATCCCGCAATAGGAAGCCATGAATGGAGAATAGTAACTGGTTGTGACCCTAAAAACACTCGATGGAGCTACCACAATAATTTACTAAGTATCCTCCACATTTATTTGGATTCTAAAGTAACATTTTTCCATTGCAGTGTTCTTGTGGTACAGTGCTTATATGGCTACTGACAGCTACTTGTATTAAAACTGGTCGACCTCAAAAATAGCAAGACGAGCAATTGAAGTACCAGAGGCTAGGCTTCATAAGGATCATTTGACTGAATACTATGATGACGGTTAGCTAGGGAGATACAAACAGGCACGTAACTGCCAGAATTGGTCAATCGTCGGTTACTCAGTGCAATGTCCTGGTCAGGCTACTGGTACGTACGTTGACAATGTGGTACTTGCTGTGTCAGATTTGACATGTGTCAGATTTGACACAATCTCATCTTTCATTTCTGAGAAGCTTGCAGTGCTAGTGCATAATGCTTTAAAGTTACTTTCCCTTGCAGGTTATGTTGACAAAGAACTTAACTGCTACGGTTTATCAAGTTCTGCGAAAAGCGGGAAAGTAACTTGAAACCATGTGTTGATTGATGATTTGAGCTTATAAGAGAGAAAAGGATTCCAAAGAGCCTTAGCTTCTGGAGAATTAAGCAAAATGATTCAACCATGGGCCAATATCTTCCAATCTCTTCACCATTTAACCATGATATGCCTAATGCCTTTCCCCATACTGATCATATCAAGCCCAACCGCTCACTCCAATACTATGTTAAGATATATTAGGTCAATAGACAACTCACCTCCATGGTTTGGTACAACTTTTGTTATTGGTTATCATACAAATTACTAGTATGCCATTGCAAACAAATAGCCCACAATATACATATAGATCCCACTCGTTCTGGTCCCTGGAGTTGTAAACATTAACACAAAGCCAATCACAAACATATGATTCTTGTTCTTTACTTACAATCGCTTTGTGATCACCCGTGTTCAGAAGCAACTTCAAGACTCATATGTTCTGTTATCCCATCCATGGTTTTCCTTATGATAGCTTTGTGATCACCAGCGAGACCACTTGACGAAACACCTGTATACTTGTAACTGATGTAGAATATTGCATTCTCTGCGTGGAGCTTCTCACGCGCCTCACTTATGTAATCTTCTTTAGTTTCTACAACTACCTTGTTGATCTCCACCAATTCCTGGAGTCACATTGGCAAGCGTAAGAGGAAGGAGAGAAGACAACACGTAGAAAAGAAATAGAAAAAAGCTTTATTTTTCTAGCAAATTCAAGGACATACAGGATTTGTTTTGGCTTTGGAGTAGAATGCGATCTCGATGAATAGATGCAGCCATTCATTCTCATGCAGCTCTGATTCTTGCACCTGTGGTGATGATGCAGAAACAAAAATGCATTTATTACCTACTACGTTGGTTACAAATTTCAGTGCTACTCAAACTAAAAGAAGATTAAACTCCACTCTGGACATCTTACCACGTAATACTTTTTATTGTCACTGGTCAAGGCCTCATCAGACAACCATTTGGGCATTTCACCTGTGTAGAAGGGAACTATTTCTTCATCCCGGTCCCAATAATCATCCACAGGCTTGTTGCCTTTAAAAAGTGATGATCTCTATAATCAGTTAGTCCTCTCTAGTGATTGATCTCTAAAGAAAAGACAGTGGTAAAGAAGAAAATGTAACGTACGTACATGTGGGTCTGCAGGCAAAGATCCTCCAGGTATCTACAACATAGGTGTCGTCGTCTGTACATCCAGCATCGCTGAACAAAATTTGAAAGAGAAGACACAGTTGGAGGCCGGATCCATTGCCTCCAAAGTGATGTAGTAGTCCAAGTCACAAGTGAACAGAGTGTTATACTTTTCCCAGCGTACAAACTTTAAGCTTGTCCCCTGACAACCAAAATATGAACAGAGAGAATCAAGGCAGGGTTCTTTTATAACCAAGGAAGGTCATATGATGAGAAACAAGGAGGAGATTACAAGACATATAAATAAATAAAGAGAATATTATCATTGAGAGTTACCTTGTGAAAATTGTAGCAGTAGAGACCAAGCCTAGCATAAAGGGTGAGATGATCATAATCATCGCGCAAACGAGGCCTAACTATTTTAAATTCCGAGGAAGAGCATCCAAAATCAAAACCCTACAAAACGACAACGGTAAAATCAAAATCAATGAAAAAAAAAAAAAAACTATCCCTGATCCTTGAGAACCTCTAATTAAGAGATCAAAATCAAGAATGTTACATAGGCCAGTTGGTGATTTTTCTTAAGCCAAGCCCTTAACTTTTTCATTCTTAGCCTTGACGTCGATGATCTTGCAATTTCAAGCCTCCCGAATTCACTTATCGCCACCACATCCATATCTTCTAGCCAAGCCCTAAACCTCTCAAATCCTCATCTCATCTCCCTCGCTTTTCTTAGTTGTATACAAAGAAAAAAAAACAGTTCAAAGCCCATAAACCGGTCGGTGGCCCATATTAAAGGGATAGAATGAAGAACGTAACTGCGGTTTATCAAGATCTGCTAAAAGCTGATGCAATGTTTGAGGTATACTAATCTTTATTTGCCTGAATGCAATTTGGATGAACAATATTCATATTTTTGGCTGCTTCTTTGGAAGTACTTGTCTGAATGCTTTGTTTATGACTGTTATGTGGAAGACAAAGATGTGACATTGTGATGTGGATTTTAATTATTTAGTGTCGTGATGTGGGTTTTTTCGCATTACATATTTCGTTTTAATTAGGTCAATAGACATATATATTTAACACCGGCATTCAGAAGCAATTTCAAGACTCATATGTTCTGGTATCCCATCCACGGTTTTCCTTATTATAGCTTTGTGATCACTGAAGAAACACCTATATGCTG